TAATTAAAAAAAAAATATTACGAATCCGAATATGGGAACGATATACACTGAGCGAAGTGGTTCCGCTCGTGTAAATTCACACGAGTGTTGCTAAGCTCGATTTTTTTCGTTTTTTTTTTTCGGATTCGTAATCTACATAACAAGAGGATCGTAAAAACGTAAAAATTACCTCCGATCTGTTGACGATTTGCACGGGCTTTGCGAAAGAAAATCGAGAGGGTTGAGAGAGTTTTTTGAGTTTTTTACCTTTTGGTTTTTGAGAAATGGTAAAAAATGTGCCTGAATGTTTAATTTATGCCTGCACAAATCATTTCAGTTAGGGATAAGTGTTACCACCCCAATAATTTAGGGGTATAAACTGTAATTAGCCCTATTTGGTATAATTTTGGGAGTTATTTTCATTTTATTTTAGAAACATATATTTTTTTTTTTTTTTTTAGAACATTTTGGAAACATATATTTTGAAAATAAAGTAATGTTTATTTATATTTTTGGGGTAAATTACACCCACACCCCTGAGGTATGTTAAAAAAACTTTAAGGTCCCTGTGGTATCAATAATTACATTCACCCCTGAAACATAATTAGAAATTCTAATGAGATAAATTGGATACGTTATTCCGTTAAGGTTCTAATGGACTATTACTTTTAGCTAGTGGTGGAGACAATATAGAGTTAGGGGGTGACATGGTTCCCATAACATTTCTTAAATCACCCATAACTCTTTGTGTCTCCACCGCTTTCTGAAACTAATAGTCCCTTAGAACTCTATCGAAACAACGTATTCAATACATTATCCCATTAGAGTTTCTAACTATGTTTCAGGGGGGTTGAGTGTATTTATCGATATCACGAAAACCTCAAAATTATTTTAGCATACCTCAGGGGTGTGGGTGTTATTTACCCTATATTTTGAGACGAATGTGTTGGAAAAAAGTATTTTAGAAGAAGAATTCAAAAAATAAAGTGATAACTGTTTATTTGTAGTGTACACAAATTAGAAAGTATAATCTATAAAAATTCTCTATGGATCGATCCGTAAATCGAATTATAAGCTTATGAATTTGTGTAAGGCTGCGGCTATATGCAATACTAATTCCACTTGTGCAAGACCAAATTAAAGAAAGATTCCAAAAGATTCTATTTTATTGAGATGAAATGACGAATATACCCATAAGTTAAATTGCCTTTTTTTTCTCATACAAGACCAAAACAAATAATAAGGAAAAAGAAAACAAAAAAAAAAAACTAAAAGAAAAAACTAAAAAAATAAAAAAAGAAAACAAAAAAACAAAAAAAAGAAAACTTTGCGTGAATTGAAAAAAAAACCCTCTCCTTCAAACCCTACCCATTCACCTTCTACGCCGTTAAACTCCGCCGCCCAAGCTCCGCCGCCTAAGCTCCGCCGGCCAAGCTCCACCACCGATCGTCGCCGCCGCCAGCCCCGCCGCTTACTATCATGAGTGACCCCAACCTGCCCAGCAACGCCGCCTCCGCCGCCGCCGCCGCCGCAGGTAATTATGAACTTTGTTTCAAAATTTCGAAATGGGTTATTTAAATTCGATAAATCCATAGTTTTATTATCTTAAAATGACATTAAGAAGCTTTCGTTGATGAATTGTTGTCTAGAGAGGAGATTTTTGATTTGTTGTTCTTCATTTCATTCGACCTGCAAATGTCGTTTTTTAAAGGAACAAATCGACATTTGCAGGTCGATTTTGTGTGCTCTGATTCGACATGTGTCGATTTTATTTAGGGTTTCTCGACATCTTAAAGATGTCGATTTCTTACTATACAATTCGACACCAAGATGTCGATTTTTGGATGAGGAATCGACATCTATAAGATGTCGAGAAACACTCTTAAAAATCAACACCTAGGTGTCGATTTTTATGGTCAGAAAACGACATATAGATGTCGAAATTTTAACTGTATGTTTTTTTTTTTATTTTTTTTTTTATTTTTTTTTTATTTATTAAATGTAATTGTTGTTGGTTTTTTGTAGAGGATGCTCGTGTACGACAAACCGCTTCCCATCGAAAGAGGAAATGCACAGTCCGTCCTCCTCATGCTCCCCCCCTCCCGCGCCATCGTACCCGAAAACGACGTAGTGATTCACAGGATTCAAATGTCGCTGTACCGGATGTATAAATATATTATGCTCCCCCCCTCCACCCTATCATATATTACATGATGTATAAATATATTATGATTTATTATATAATAAAAAAGTGTATGTCAAGTCATAATAAAAATATTACCTGTTAGAAGTGTATGTTCCGAGGTGCATACATTTGTCTGTCCATGCCGACACAATCCTCTGTTTGTACGGGTCCAACCCCGAGTCAGCTACGTAAGATAGAGCCTTCGGAAAATCAACGAAGTTTCGTTTCATTAAATCCCATTCCACATAAAACAACTCCTCCGATTCTTGCTCAACAAGATTTGCCCAACTTGTCTCAAACCGCTTCCATTTTTCTTTCTCCTTTTTGAACATTTTTTTACATTTAGCAAGAATATTCTTGCTAACATGCCACCTACATAGCAAATGATGACTGGTTGGATACACAAGAGCTATAGCTTTCATCAAAGCCAAATCTCGGTCAGTGACGATACAATTAGGACTATGACTCCCTCCCATCTTCTCCACCAAGGTCCTCAATGCCCATTCGTAGTTGTCTGCCTTCTCACATTGCAAGTATGCAAAGGCAATGGAGAATGTTTTGTTCGTAGAAGTAACGCCCACCATCTCCAGTAATGGGAATCCGTATCGGTTAGTTTTGTACGTGCAATCCATAAGTAACACGTAGGGAAAGCTACGCCCTAAGGCCAAGCAAGTAGGGTTGCTCCAAAACAAATCAGTGACTTCACCATCTTCGTTCGATCTATGATCTTCAAGGTAATTATGTTCGGACAATTTCGTCATCAAAAGTTGTATTTGAGATCTACCGGCTTTCTCTATTGCTTGAAGCCTATGACGAGCATTGTAAATTGTCTTCATTTCAGCTACATTTGTCTCATCCCTCTTCTTCAATGTTGTAAGTATTGCCTTTGGTTGCACCAACGCATTTGACATTTCTTCTACAATTTTCATCTCTTCACTTGTTAATCTTGCCGCATATGCGTGGCCCTCCAAATTTGGAAAACATGGGTGATTATGAACGCCAAAAACAACTTCGAGCTTCCATCCAACATTGTCATCATCCATGCCCAATTTAGTGCCTTTTAATTTAAAAAGGCAATTACATTTTTTTGACCTCGTACTTCTTTTTCGTTTTGCCGTTTCAAATTTACCAGGTACCTTAGTGCCACGATACTCACCCGCACGCTCACACACAAGCACCATATAAGGTGTTCTACGTCTATTGAGTCCAGGATTTGATGACATGATTGTAAAGACCATTCCGAGACGTCTACCCACTTCTCTCACCCATTTCAGCAATTCATCCCTTGTTGCAAATGTGTCTTGGTTGATGAATTCACTAGAGTAGTCAATTGCTAATTCCTCATTTTGTTCAACCTTACAAAAAAAGAGGAAAAAACAAATTAAATTTGAAACTGGTAAAAATCGACACCAAGGTGTCGAAAAATTACGCTACAAATCGACACTTACGCGTCGAATTTTTTAGGCAGAAATCGACATTGACATGTCGAATTTATAGCAAAAATTCGACATGTCCAAATGTCGAATTTGCTACCTCAAAATCGACATCTAAATGTCGATTTTTACCCATAAAATTCGACCTGTAGATGTTGAATTCGTTTGCGCGGGATTTTTTTTGGAAAAACGATATTTTAGCTAAAAAACCCATAAATGCATACCTGCTTGGGTTCTTCCACCGTAGAATCTTCTATTTTGATGTCTTCTGACTCCATACTTTCCATCTTTGTAAGATTTGTTGAATTTTGATGATTTTGAATGTTTAGGTTTTGTGGGTTTATGGAGGAGGAAGGAGAAAGGTCTTGTGGTTTTTGGAAGATGGAGAAGATGAAAGTTGGTCTTGTGGTTTTGTGGTCTTGTGATAGGGTTTTTTGTGTTTTTGAATTTTTGGTCTTGCACATTTTGAATTTTTTATTTTTTTAATAAGTAAGGGTATTATAGTATTTATACATTAAAAAATTTAATTTAGTCTTGCACAAGTGGTTTTAGTCTTGCATATAGCCGCAGCCTTTGTGTAATTATCCGATAAAAAAAAATGAATAGTGGAAATAATAAAAAAATAATAAAAAAAAACGCGTAGAAAGACCCGACCCCCACGATGAGACTAAGAGACGCCAAACACCGCTCTAAAAGTCGAACAAATAGTGATTCTTTTATCTGTTGGCACGTTTTCATTTTTCACACAAAATATTATTCTATTTCAATTTCTTGCCCTAATTATATTTAATTTAATTTATTTATTCCCCTTTGGATATTCATATCCATGACTTTTCTTGTTTACTTGTTGCCAGCGATCGTCCATTCCTAAGTTCGCCGATATCAATAGCAGCTCAGATTATACATTTTTTTTTTAATTATAATTATAATTATAATTATTTTTTTCTGGGTCAAACCCTAGAATCCCCTTTCACGATTGCACGCTCAAGATCAACTCTTTCAATCCCAATTTAAATTGACTCGATGAGGTCAGTTTTCAAACTTCAGATTTCTTCTTTGTTAAGATCTCTCCCAAACTAGGGTTCTTTACAAAATTCCCTTATTTTACTATTGCCTCGATCATTTCCCGGCTTGCTTAAGGTTAATTTCTTGTTTTTTGCTGCATTTTTATGTTCTTCGATTCAAATTAGGGCATTCCGATTGCGTATTTATATGTTCTGTTTGGATTTATTAACAGTTGTTTCGCGGAATAATTGATTATATTTTAATTGAATGCAGCTGATTTGGGAGTGACTTAATTGAAGAGGCGAAGAGAAAATTGGGGATTGGGTTTCCGATTTGTGAGATCTAAAGATTTAATTTTTATTTTATTTTTCAAAAAACTTTGCGAGGAGTGATTTAAGAAAAGCTTGTAAAGATGATGTCAAGATCTTATACCAATCTTTTGGATTTAGCATCTGGGAATTTCCCGTTAACGGGTAGGGAGAAGGAACGGAAAAGATTCCCTCGGGTGATGACTGTACCGGGGAATATTCTCGAGCTGGACGACGAACAAGCTAGCAGCGTTACATCTGAAAACCCATCTACAGTTGCTGGCGATAGGATTATCGTTGTCGCAAATCTTCTGCCTTTGAAAGCAAAACGAAGGCCCGATAATAAAGGATGGACTTTTAGCTGGAACGAAGATTCCTTACTTCTACGTATTAAAGACGGATTTCCCGAGGAGATGGAGGTTTTATACGTTGGGTCTTTGCCTGTTGATGTTGATCCTATTGAACAGGACGATGTAGCCAGCTTTCTTTTGGAGAAATTTAAATGCGTCGCCGCCTTTTTACCTCCGAATATTTTAGAAAAGTATTATCATGGCTTCTGCAAGAAGCAGCTGTGGCCACTTTTCCACTACATGCTGCCGTTTTCGGCTGATCACGGAGGTAGATTCGACCGGTCCATGTGGGAAGCGTATGTATCTGCGAATAAGATGTTCTCGCAGAAAGTTATTGAAGTACTAAACCCGGAGGACGATTTTGTCTGGATTCACGATTATCACTTGATGGTTCTGCCGACGTTTTTGAGAAGGCGCTTTGTCCGTTTAAGAATGGGGTTTTTCCTTCACAGCCCGTTTCCTTCATCCGAGCTGTACAGGTCATTGCCTGTTAGAGAAGAAATCCTCAAGGCTCTTCTCAATGCGGATCTTATCGGTTTTCACACCTTCGATTATGCTCGGCATTTCCTCTCGTGCTGCAGTCGGATGCTGGGCTTGGAGTATCAGTCGAAAAGGGGCTACATCGGGTTGGATTATTACGGAAGAACAGTAGGGATAAAGATTATGCCTGTCGGCATACATTTGGGCCATATTGAATCGGTGATAAGACAGGCGGATAAAGAGCTTAAAGTCGAGGAGCTAAAGCGACAGTTTGAAGGGAAGACTGTGCTTCTCGGAGTTGATGACATGGACATATTCAAAGGCATCAATTTGAAGCTTTTAGCTATGGAGCACATGCTCAAGATACATCCAAATTGGAGAGGAAGAGCTGTGCTCGTACAGATTGCGAATCCCGCTCGAGGGAATGGTATCGACTTGGACGAAATACAAGCCGAAATCGAGGAGAGTGTTAAGAGAATTAACAAGGATCTCGGAAGTCCCGGATACGAACCTGTAGTATTTATTCACAGACCTTTAACAATAAGTGAAAGAATGGCGTATTACACTATCGCCGAGTGTGTTGTGGTGACAGCTGTGCGTGATGGAATGAACTTAACTCCTTACGAATACATTGTGTGCAGAGAAGGCGTATCTGGTGCAGAAACAGGGTCGGATTCGGTCGGACCCAAGAAAAGCATGCTGGTTGTTTCTGAATTCATCGGGTGTTCGCCTTCGTTGAGTGGCGCAATCCGTGTCAATCCGTGGAACGTCGAGTCGACCTCGGAGGCAATGAATGAAGCTATTTCAATGGCTGAATCTGAAAAGGAGCTAAGGCACGAAAAGCATTACCGTTATGTCAGCACACATAACGTTGCTTTCTGGTCTAGAAGCTTCTTGCAAGATATGGAGAGAACGTGTGCCGATCACTTTAGGAAAAGATGCTGGGGTATCGGTCTTGGGTTCGGGTTTAGGGTTGTGGCGCTTGATCCTAATTTTAGAAAGCTTTCGATAGATGAAATTGTGTCTGCTTACGTTCGGGCGAAGAGCAGGGCTATATTGTTGGACTACGACGGCACACTTATGCCTCAGAACTCGATTATTAGGACGCCGAGCGCTCAAGTTATCTCTCTGTTGAACAAGCTTTGCGGTGATCCGAAAAATGTAGTTTTTATGGTGAGTGGGAGAGGTCGGGATAGCTTAAGCAAGTGGTTTCTTCCTTGCAATAGGTTGGGTCTTGCTGCCGAACACGGCTACTTCTTAAGGTATGTTTGCTTTATTTGTATGCCTTGTTATTTTATCTTAGTCAATCTGGAGTATTTTAATCTAGCTTTTTATTGTTTATATTGTCCGATTACTGTTACTGTATTAGATTTAGAAACTTGATTTTTTTGGGGACATACACCTCGGGAAAAGAACCAGAAAACATGGCTTTGTGGGTTGCTTTATCAAATAAAAAGCCGACGTTTCAATCTTTGTATACCTTGAAAATGTAATAAAATAAAGGCTAGTGTTGGTTATTGTATTGCGATAGGATGCAAAAAGGTTATGTACCTGTAAGTAACTTTTACCTCCATGCCTTATTATCAAGAATACTCTGTTCGATCTGAAATATATTAATGGGACTTTGTAATAAATACGTAATGATCTGAAGTTCTAGTTCTCCTGATATCTGAGTGGCTCGGTTAGTTTCTACTGCCGAGTGTAGTGGTTGTATTTCGAGTCTCTTTTTAAGTTCATATGATGTTTGCTAGTAGAGTCTACTGTAAATAGCAGATTGGATATCCAGGTTATGAAGATTTACGTGAAGATCTTTCGTAAGGAATCTAAAAACACTGTAGCATCTTTAGGTTAATGCGAAATTTAAATTCCCCATTCGTAAACATGATCATCCGCATTACTGTTAGTTATACTTGAGTTCCCACTTTAATGTCTCGTTTTCTTTCTACTTCCTATCTTTTTTTTTTTTTTTTATTTTTTAATTTTTTTATTCTTCGTTCTTAGCTAGTTCTATTGTATTAATTTGCTAAATTATGGGACAGGTGGCCGCAAGTTGAAGAATGGGAAACATACAGCCAGAGTTCTGAGTTCGGGTGGATGCAAATGGCAGAACCTGTAATGGAATCATACACAGAGGCAACTGATGGTTCTGGAATAGAGAGAAAGGAAAGTGCTTTAGTATGGCATTATCATGATGCGGACCCGGGTTTCGGTTTTTCACAAGCAAAGGAAATGTTGGATCACCTCGAAAGTGTTTTAGCTAACGAGCCTGTTGCTGTCAAGAGTGGACAGTTTATCGTAGAAGTCAAACCTCAGGCACGTCTCTAATTAGCTTCCGTCTCTTTCATTGCCTTTTTCTGTATTTTCGCCTCTGTTTGGTTTATGGAGTTTGAAAATCAACGGAGAAGCAAAAGCAAAGCAAAAAAAAAAAAAAAAAAAAAACGAAAATTTCCCTAACTCATTTTAACTTCGATTATACCTCCTAATCGAAGAAATCTATTTTACAACATTTTTCATTCCAAATTTAGAAGGTTTTGATTTCCGATTTTTTTGATTTTTTTCGAACGGAATTGGGTTGCATATTAGATTTCGATTCCTGATTCGATTTTAATTTTGGAAAATATTTCGAAAATTTCTATTTCTATTTCTGAATTTTGAATATTTTTCTTGGAAATGAATTGAAATTAGGTTTGCACTTCCCAAAAATATTGAAATTTTTACGAGAGTGTGAATTTCTGACCCGATTCGTCTGATTTCCCTTCATGCAAAAAGAGGCTTCAGATTCGTATAATTATGATTCTCTTAAACTAATTGAAGTTAGGGGTGTGAACGAGCCGAGCTCGAGCCGAGCTCGCCTCTTTTGGCTGGCTCGAGCTCGAGCTCGAGTCAATTTTGTCGAGCTCGAGCTCGAGCTCGTCGAGTTCTTCTTTTTTTGGCTCGAGCTCGAGCTCGTGTTAATTTTGTCGAGCTCGAGCTCGAGCTCGAGCTCTCGAGCTCGAGCCCAATTGAAGTCGTCTCCTTGCTCATTCTTCGTTTTTCGTTTACAGTTATCCCTTTTGAAATTGGAGTTTGTGTTTTCACATGCTCTCATAATTTTTTGTTTCGTAGATATGTATTTATACATCAAATTTAACGTCTTTTTTTTTTGTTGATTCAGGGTGTTAACAAAGGAATAGTTGCTGAAAAGATTTTCACATCAATGACAGAAAAAGGGAAACTGGCTGATTTTGTTCTCTGCGTCGGTGACGACAGATCCGACGAGGACATGTTTGAATTAATCGGTTCTGCAGTGTCGAGACGTGTTCTCTCGTACAACACCGAAGTATTTGCATGCACTGTCGGCCAGAAACCGAGCAAAGCCAAATATTATCTAGACGACTCGTCCGAAGTTATAACAATGCTCGAGTCTCTTGCCGAAGCTACTGATTCTCCTTTCTCGTCTGACGAAGAACCTGATCTTGATACTATCAGCTCTCCTAGAAGAATCAGTCGTGTTACTTCATTCATTTAAACGAAATGATGCATGTATTTTTTTCAGTTTGAAGTGAACCTAAAAAGAATAAAGTTCCGAGATTTGGAGCCAGGTAGGAAAACCCCATTTTCCCTATTTATGGCTAATGCGTTGACTTTGGCAGAGAATTTGAAATATTTTATTTAAGTGATGATGGGGGGAAACGAGATGGGTTTCGTGATGAACGAGCTGATTATGGGAAGGTGGAATTTTGCAACCGATGAATTTGTAGATTGGCGGAAGAATTCGACTTTTTCTGCCTCGATGATTTCTTTGTACAGGTTCGAAGGTCTCCTTTTCTCCTTTGTTCTTGGTAGTTGTTCCTTTGGGGCAAATCCTCATTGGAGTGTATGTGAATATGGATTTCGATTATTTGGAATAATTGTCATTGACAGATGGATGGTCGTCCCGTTGGAATGTTACGAGTGATTTTTTTTTTTTCCTTTTTTCTTCCCGGTTCCGTAATTTTTATTCGATTTGGAGATGTTCTGATTGTGACCTTGTTTAATTCAGTAATTGAATTGTGTTTCTTGGAATTTTTATTCTTGTAGACCTTGTTTGCCTGCCTTGTATCCAAAATTGTTATTTAAGAATTAAGAGTAGATATTGTAGTTTTGTTTTTTAGTGGAATTCTTACAATATATGCTGCTGCTTAGGAAAAAGGCAATGGTTGACAAAGGAGGATGTTCTGTTTCCTTGTAATGGAATAGAAACCATGTGTTGTACACTATTATATAATGAATGAATTGAACACAGTACAATCTGCAGCATGCATCCATGGTTAAAGATATTTATCTTATTGTAGGTTCTTAGCCTTGAAGATTTTATTGACTTTTAGACTATGATGACTCAACTCCAACAACAAGACACATCTCACAAGAATCTTAAATATAGTGTCAAATTTATTCGGCAAAAATATCTATTCCCATGTTGCTTAGTTTCAGCCATTTTTTCACCAGATTTTTCACACTTTTTGTCCCTTTTTTTTCCCTTTTGTTTTTGCATAAAAAAAGAAATAAGAAAAATCGAATCTATTAAAATGAAACTTTGCAGATTTTGATCGCAACCCCCCAACACCCGTTCGCAGAAAAAAAAAAAAAAAAGAACAAGTAACTTAAAACCCCTAAAATTAAAAAAAAAAACTCTCAAATACAAATAAAACCCTAAAGAGTCATTACGCATGCATTCAATTAACACCGTCAAAAGTCTGACCACTAACCATAAAAAAATAGAGGATGTTTAATGTTTTCTATACATCAAGGGGTAAACGATACTTTTCGCATAATAAAGGTGTAAAATGAATTTAAGCCTTAAATATGTAAAGAGTTGAGAGGGGCAACCATCAATGTGCGTCCAAATTCGAAAAGCAAAAAAGTGGAGGCCAATATGAGCAAAAAGAGGAAGCACCATTGTGAACAAAAGAAAGGGTAATTTTAATCTACACCTACTCTTCCTGCGATTAGTAGTTACATTTAGACTTAAATTTTAATCCATTTTTGTCCTTCACCAAATGACTAAATTACATTTTCCACCCCTAGATGTTATAAATGTAATTACATGTTTTAGAAATATCACAGAGACCTCCCTTCAAGTTTAACTTAACACTAATATTTTTCTTCCATATTGTACTGTTCATCATAATATCATGATTACGACCCACGATTAATACGACATTCACACGTAAACATGTAATCTTATTATATGCACATTTGTCACAGTGGCTAAAACCATTTATTATCAAATATGCAATTGCTTCAAAATTTAATTAAGTTCGTATAGTGAATTAACAATACTTTAGGTTCATTTTCTCTCAGAAGTTAGAAATCAAAATTAAATTAAAGTATTCACGGAAAAAATATTCGCTTCTTCACAAAATAGCATAGTTGCCAATGTAATAACTTCTAGCGACGCTGTATCAGAAGGTATACGTAAACAAGAGTTGCTTCCAACAATTTCACGAAATTGATGACAATGGACAAATTATTGAAAACCAAACACATGGAATTATATATAATTTCCCTGCGTGGCCCTTAATTATATTACATTTATTTTCTTTGGAACACTAAAACGTACTTCTAGTTTGATCAACGACCGCGCGCATAATTAATTGATGATATCATATTATCATAGTCCCACCACGCCTAGTACGCAGTCGTACGATCTTTTTCAATAATCAAGAATCTACAAACGGGGCATTTCCCGTGGCTCTTAACCCACGGAACAATGCACTCCTCGTGAAACATATGATTGCATGGTGTGCTCGTCACATACTGTTTGGTGTCGAAATCTTCCAAACAAACCGCACATCTCTTCCCATCATCGTCATCCGAACCGTTATTGCTTGTGGTGGGCCCGGTGCCGCCTAGTCGCTTGATTATGCGGTTGAGATGTGGGCTGTAGAGTTGTTTGCTAAGCTTGTTAAGTGCTTGCTTTTGGTCTTCTTGACTTAGCCTCGGTTCCTCCTGTATATTATTATAATTGTACCTTGGTTGTTGGTAGTTGTACGGTGGAGGAGTGGTGGTGCTATGAGGTGGTGGATATGCGCCGCCGTAGTCTTCCATCAGTAGTAAATGTAATGGCATGGAAGCACGACGAAGAGGTATTCCATGTGCATGTGGGAAACTGCATGCATGCACCAATATTATTTATAATTTGGTCCGATCAATTTTATTTATTTTTCGAAAATGATAAATATTAAATAATCTAAGGTAATTAATTATCTTCTAGCAGTGCACTACAAAGAACATATTCCTCACTAAAAATCAACGTCTTAAAGATTCTAATTCCAATAATAAAATTTCAAAATAAAAGAATAAAATAAATTATTATAATGTTGAAACATATATAATTCCAATATTTATTTATACATCTCAACCTGTTTTACTTCATTTCTGTAGATTATTTACTCTGTTCAGTTAATCTTGAGTTAATAGCACAAACCTCCCTGTATTGTTTCTAATTGCCGAAAAACCACTTGTGTAAAAAAAAATTAGCAAGAAGCCCCCATGTTATGTTTTCTAAAACACATGGGTCTTTATTTTGAAATTTATTGTTGACTTTTATGAGATGACCAAATTACCCTTACAAAAGAAATATTAAAAAAAAGAACAAAAAAGGAACCAAAAATAATTTCATAGGGAATTTTAGACTTTTCAAGTAAAAAATACACCCCTACTCTAAAAATCCGCACGTGCATTACACGACGTAATGCTGTCAAGATTTTTTTTGGCTTTGACCATTTTTCACAGAGGTGTTCTTGCTAATTTTTTTAACATACATGTATTATTAGCAATTAGAGATTACACAAGAGTAGTTTTTGGCAAAAGAACATTAATTTTGATTTGTTGTTCAACTACTTGGCCTTACAATTAAAATTTTCTTGGATCATGTATATATACATGAAAAGCACTAATAGGTAATTAATAAAAATAGAATAAAAAAACCTTAAGCAAGAAAACATCACCTTGCCATCAGGGCATCATAACTAGGTCCTCCTCCTCCTATCACTCTCTCCTCAAATAACTGCCATGAATCTCTTCCTCTCTCTCTAGGATAATTCTGAATACATACACAACAAATTATATATAAATATATATGTATATATATATTCCATAATGCGTGTGAAGATTGAAGGAACAAACCGGGGATGTTCGAGCCGGAAGAAAGTCTGGAAGATTATTGTTAGGCAGATAAGTCCAGTATTCGTTTCCCGTCTGCATATTTCCCCGGTTACGAGAACTCCGGGAGCTCCCACTCATGATATTACACTTTTATGAAAGTATTAATGAAGGTTTCAGGCTTGTTAATTTATTACCAAACTTTTACTATGTTGGGTGTTTTGTTCTCTTTGCTTTTTTCTTTTTTCATGTCATTCAGTTTGTCTATTTTCGATATTTTTCGAACATTATCTTCCTTCATTTAAAGATACCTTTTGTGTGCGTGGTGGTGTCCAGGATAAAAAGATTCTATCACTACATGTGAAGCAACGAATTTGATTCTTGAATTAAAGAGGTAAAAAATTATGCTATATATGATCGAGTGCATGTACATCGAATATATATGTTACTAATCGAAACTCACCTATATGGATGTTTATGCGTTAATTGAAAGTAGTAACCGGAGATCAACCCACGTTAGGAGAGTCTCTACTATTATTGGAGTAGATGTCTAGGGTTCAAATTTTGCTGCTCCGCTACTTCCTTAATTTGTAACACAATTTGAATTATTTTAAGAAAAAAGAAAATGGTACCGTATGTTATTTCGAATTATTAGAAATAAGTCCTTGTGCCTTTTTTCACTAGCAAATATGCCCCATAAATATTTAGTTCATGGCATATGGACCCCTGACGTATGTTCGTGCAGCTTGTTCGTTTGATTTTGATAATTTTTTTTCATTCTCTCTTGCTCAATGACTTCCAATTCTTCAACCACCACCTCTACTCCGATCATGGTTCGCCAAACGGTAGCCAGTGGTGAGCACATGAATTCGTTACAATCGGGCTTGAATTTTCGAGAATATTGGGCCAACACACCCGAATGATTTAGGAATATTTTTTTTTTCTTTTTATAAAGGAGGATAAAATCGTAAGATAGGAAGATAAAAAAATAAAAAAAACAAGATTCTTTCAGGGCTTTTTTTTGCATAAATATGGGGTTTCGGTGTGCTAAATAAAACAAATTGGATGGGCTAAATAAAAATATAGGTATAACGTAATGGGATTTTTTCTTGATTAAGGGTGTACTTGAGTCCACGTCCACCCTTGCCAAATTAGAGTGGACTTGTCTCTGACGACAGCGGACATTGTTGCCTATATTACTGTTCCAGTTCCATTGTAACGTTGTGGTAATGTCGCAGTTGGAACAAACAAATGTCATAGATAAAAGAAAATAAACGCTAGGTAATTAACCCTAAAAAGTCCGGAGGACATTTTTATTCTCTACTGATTTTTTAATTATTTATTATTATTATTATTATTTTTTTTTCTTTCTTAGCTTAGTACAACAGTTTGCCGCTTTCTTTATTATTCAGTTTTCTTTTCTAATGGCATCTTTCAAATTAATTGTTTTTCTATTCTTTTCCTCTACTATTTTTTTGAAATTATTATTTTTATTATTATTATTTTTTCTTTATTAATTGATTCATTTATTTAGCGATCAACCATCGGCTTAGCTTATGTGTACTCACCCTTGTAGGTTCAGGACTTAGGCGCTCTACAGTTCCCCATGTGGCCTTAGACGCAGTGGAGTTCGAATGAGTCGGGGAGTGGATCATTTGAGTCGGCGTTGCACAAGCAGGGTTTGCGAGTGTTACAGGAGCAGAGTAGCTACAATTGGTGCGTTTAGCTAATTTTTTCAAACGATTTTTTTAAAATTTGCATCCTATAAGATGTTTTTAGTTTGAAATTTAAAACATGATATATCTTAGATTCAACGGTCTGCCTACAAACAAAGTTTGGATTTAAAACATGATATATTTTAAAAATAAACACGATGTTTTTAGTTTGAAATTTAAAACATGATATACTCAATTGTCTACCTACAAAGAAGAATTTAATAAGAAGACATCATGAGCATGTCGGAGATATTAATCAACGATGAGTTTTATGTGATACTTTTAAATTTTTTGGATGGAATTATTTGCATGGATCGTGTTCAAACATTGATACTCGCGGATGTAGAGACGCAATTCGAGATGCATTTATTTTAAGCCAAAAATAAATTGCTAAGAGTGTTTGGATGAAAAAGATCGCTGAGTTTTTAAGATGCTCTAAATGAGAGTAAAAATTAAGGAGTTTGTGAAAATCGTATATTACATAAAATAGAATGTTATAAATAATCATCAAATAGTACTTTTGTTTAATTTGTATTTCTCGATCAAATTGGTTTTATACTACGCTATATAAAGAACTGGGTAGATTAATATCATTCATTCTCATAAAAACACTTGTATTATACCGTGAACACGATCAACTGCCGCCACCAGCAACATCTCCGCCGACGTCTGCGAGTCAGAGATAATATAATTGATCATATGTGTCTTCAAATGATTAACGATAACTTTAGATTCAATTTTGTACACAACATTATATTACTGATCAGGCTAAACGGACAAAATTGAGACATATTCTCCGAATTTGAGCACTTACAGATAAGTACAATCTGTGCGTATATTGCAAGCTGGGGGGCCGGGACTACACTATTGAACGCCGTTCGTCTTTAGATCGATGCGGATCGTGTAGGTGGCCGGTTTGAATTGAGAGCCTCAAGATGTGACACCCGATAGGCAGGAAAATAGATCTTCATTCATCTGTTGCGCACGTTCGATCATTATCAATGGCGGATCTTTTAAGGGGCTGTTGCCCCCCCCCAAGATTAAAAAAAAAAAATTTTTTTTTAGGTATTTTGGCATTTTAATTTTTGAATATTACTTTTGACCCTCCTAAAGTTTTTGTAAATATGTGTATTAACCCTAAATTTTTTTGTTTCTTCTCCACAATCTTATATAAATTATACTTGTATACATCATATCTAATTTAAAAATATTTAATAAAATGGTTAAATTTGTATTATTTTATATAATATCTATGAATATTTACTTATTTTGGAATTTTTTTATCAGTGTCTCAGTGTCTCTTACAAATAATATGAGACGATGCCATTAATCTCCAAAATATTTAATTGTAATACATTAAGATTTTTTTGTCATGCTTAAAATATAATAAAACTATAATATATATGCTATTTTAATTAAAAAATTATCAATATAAACTTATTTTTGCTATATCTTGTGAACCTAAAATTTTTTTTCTTCGGGGGGCTGCCCCGAACCCCGAAATTTTAGTTAGCCCCTCCTATATTTTAATCCTGGTTCCGCCCCTGATCAATATACTCTCTAATTGTATCCGGATGTTTATATTATGGACCACGTGAATTACCCCAAATCGGTCAAACCCGAATCATGAACTAAAATCATACATTTCTTCGAAGGAAGCGGTTCCGCCACCCATTTTCTCAAAGGTAGATAACATAGCTTTGAAATCCCCCGCACACAACCATGATTTATTTGATAAGCTTGCTATAGAATCCCGAGTGTTTGGATGAAAAAAAAATCACTATCCCATTTTATATGTTATTTTTTTTTTATTATGGCGCACATATTTAGAAAATCAATAAATATGAATAGTTATAGCAAAAAACACAGGAAATCACTAAAATATTCTTGTGATTAATTATTTTTCAGTTAATAAATAAAATGCGATAAAAGGGTAAAATTAAAAATATTGCAAATAATGCTTCATTGGAATTGTAAAATAATAAATAATTTGGAATAAACTAAATTCTTCAAAGAGACAAATAATATCAGACATAGGGAGTACTTTTGGAAGTTTGTATTTCTCGACCAAATGGGTTTTATACTATGTATATATAGCGGCGAAATACAATGGATACAGTAATATCAGTCATTCACATAAAAACTCTTGTATGATTGTATGTATCATAGGACTGTGAACGAGCCGAGCTTGAATGTTTTGGCAGGCTCGAGCTGGAGCTTAAGTCAATTTTGTGGAGCTCGAGCTCCAGCTCATCGAGTATTTCTTTTTTTTTGTTCGAGCTCGAGCTCGGACCCAAGCTTATTTTGATTTTTTTTATAACTATTTTTTATTATTAATGAGCTCATCAAATATTTTTTTAACTCGACCTCGAACCAAGCTCATTTGTTTTATTATTAAAAATTATTTATTATTATAACATAAACATTAAAAAATAAACAATGAACTGTAATTATATATATATTTGTTAAGTTTTATATTATTATTATAACATATCATGTTATTATATGTTTTTGAAATAAAAAATAATAAATAAAAAATAATAAATAATAATGAATAAAAATGAAAGGTTCGCGAGCCAGTTCGTGAGTTTAGAACGATTAAAAAAAAGCTCGAGCTCGAAAAACTTGAGATCGAGTTCGAGTCTTTTTCGAGTCGGCTCAACCCATTTACCACCCTAGTGTATCACCTGTCATGATTAGGTCAGCAATATTAAGTGTTTCATTTATTGCAAAATCTGAAAGAAAAAAATATTTATTATGACATTTTCGAAATTTTAAATCTAGGATTGTAGTGATTTCATATTTATAAAATCTAAAAAATGGCAATTAGCAGTTAATGCGGATTTGTCACAAATGACGAGGCTACCAATTATTACAGGGCTTTTTTCTTGAAAACAATTTGCTTTTAGAAAATATTTTGATAATCCCTTTAAATTTTTAAAGCCAACTTAAATTGTTTTGTGAAGAGAAAAATTCTATCTATCCAAAGTCAAATTATTTGCTTTTTTAAAAAAGCTATCACAATTCACATATATATTTTTTTTAAAGATTAATAAAAAAAAAAATTAATATCAATTAATTTTTGAAAAGGCTATCAAATTTATTATTTTTCCGATCTTGTATTATTTCTTTTAGAAAAAAAGTTATCTTATTTTTTAATTGTCGTAATTTTGACAGTCCATTTTGCTATAGTTGACAAGCCAAAATGACCTGTACTTTTGGATGAAGGTGAATTTAATTTGGTATCTCAAAGAATTGATAATAATTACAATCAAGGACATAAGTTTAGCCCTACTTCCATATTACCACTATATTGTTTTTTTCTTCCTTTTTGAGTCTGAAATTATCAATTGATCATGCTACACCCCTCCTCTATGTAAGTGAACAATATACATTATACAAAAATGGTCCAAATGATTTTTGGCCATTTAGCTTGCTCTTTAAGACGAAAGTTGTAAGCGAAAGAGCATTCGTATCATTACGAAAATGGATATATCGATGCCCAAGTGCATTACTAAGGCGAAGAATTGGTTCAATTGCTCAAATGCCATCAAACATTTGCTTTTAATTGCTCCCTAAACGCATTTTATTTTGTTCCGTCAAAACATAAAATTACTTCTTTAATTAGTATAAATTTTATGATGTTAATAAATTCAACTAATTGAAAAAGAAAATCGATTAGATTGCGACGACATTATTAGGCCGATGCATCCTAAAAACCAATTAACACTTTTGTTTTCTTTTTCCGAATAATATGCATTACGTATGTCGTATATAGAAACTATTGAGATAGATACGGTGTATTAGTTATATTTATACATCATCGCGTATAGCTACACGTGTATAATCGGGCTCACAAAGATTCTCACGATCCTATAGTGCATTAAAGAGTAATATTAACATTTAAGTACGACCTTTTTTCCAAACCCTAGATATCCAATTCTCACGATTTTATCGGGGCCTCTCAAAGGAATAAATATTCATGCTCAATCATACTAAGTACTAAATCATATTGCTTTGGTAGAGGCAATTCTAAGAGTATGTCGCGAGTGTGATTGCTTAAGACAATATTTAAAATGTCTTAGTCGACTTTATACATGCACGGGAGTCATCATATTTTAGAAAATATTCCATTCTTCTATTGAAATAAACCTTTTACCATTACATCGTCGATCGTTAACTTATGTTTGAGGTTATTGATATTATGGCACTTGATATGATTTTATGCTGTTAAGGAAGTTACGTTCTTCACCAAAATCGTGACAGTCAAACCTCTTTCAAACTAGTTTAAGAAACCGTGTTATGGTCTAGGAAATGTTTCTCAACCCTAAACATACAAAACACCTAGCTAGGGTTTGTACCTATAGCTAGCTAACTTATTACAAGTTACATTTAGAGCAAATATTGTTCGTTTTGTCCCGATTAATATTGCATTATATTATAAAAGGTAGTTTCTGATTATAACAAAAAGATTAATGAGCCTATATGAATTACTCGCATTGAATTTTCAAATCAAGAAGTTCGAAAGGGATCGAATAATAGAGTGTACGTATACTAGATAGTAAAGATAAACTAAGAAAAAAATGTTTTTCATTTTGCAGGAATAGAAATATCTATTGTAGCGTAAATTATGCTTTTCACGTCGCTAAATATTTTTTGCTTAAAAATAAAGGAAGCGCTCAAAGAAATGAATACTATAAAAGAACACACACAATTTAATGAAGTAACGAGGCATACTTTTCACGCAATTTAGTTTTTTCTCGCGGAATAGAAAACACTCGAGAAACTAAACGAATACGATAACAGAACACACAACTTAATGAAGTTAAGCGTGTGTTACAATTAGTTTTACATTATCACTCATTAGATGAACAGCTTACAATATTTTTTTAAATTAAGGATTAATATATCTTAAATTCAAGATGAAATTTTTTCGAAACATTTAAAAAAAATTGAAAGTTTTGAATATTGAATACTTGAAGGGGCAAAATCAATAGTAAAACATAGTTGAGGGACCGTGTGTGCAAATATCCCAAATGGACAGCCAGGAAAAAGAGTTGACCACCTTATATAAATTGGGGGGATTATTGCCTCATCATTACCAACATTCTCTCTGTAGGGTTTTCATTTGCTACTTTTCAGACAAATAAAATCAGTGTCACATATCACCGCGCAGCAGCAGCATCCCTCATTTCTCATTTCTCTCTCTCCGTAGCAGCCATGAAAACCGATCTTGAATTCCAAACCACCAGAAATGGCGCCGCCGGAGTAGCAGATCCAATGGAGGAAGACGACCAGAAACCCCAACTACAAGTGGCGGCGGCGCCACCACCACCACCGGCGGCAGAACCAACCGAACTGGCCTACATTCCAGACTGCATTATAGAAGAGATCTTAACACGGGTCCCTGCAAAAACAGTGTTTCGCTGCATGGCCGTCAGTCATCCATGGCTGTCAATGTTAGACAACAGAAGATTCTTCCAGAAACACCACTCTCTCTCCTCCGCCCGCCCGCTGGTGGTTTTCAGCGACCCGTTGGGCGGCAAAGCGAATCGGATCCTCCACCTCTACGAGGGTCGAACATCATCCGATTTCGAACCGAGGACCCGGAGCCTCAGCACCCGGATCGACTTTCCAGATATAGCGCGTGGCCGCTGCACTTTCCTTCACGACGTCAATACCTTGGTCACCTCGTGTAAGGGTTTGGTCTGCTGGGCCACTCACCGTGGGGCCGGTGACGTGGTCATTTCGAACCCGATCACGGGCGAGTACGTCTTGGCCAACACCCACGCGCGTGGGAGGAACAGCCTCAGAGAGGTGGCTTCCGTTTTCATAGGCCTCGGGTATAGCCGCCGCACAAACAGTTTCGAGCTCTTGAAAATGACTCTCGGGTTGCTCGACCCGATCGACTTTACCATGGGTTGGTACCCGGAGCTCCTCGCTCTGGGTGCCAAGTCATCATGGAGGCCCGCCGGTGAGGCTTCCGAATTTGACTTTTCTCGGAAGGTTTGCGATTTGGTCAACGTCGATGACGGAACCGTGTACTGGAGGTACAAGGAGGAGCCCTCGATTTGCTCCTTCGATTTCGACCGGACCCTCTTCCGGTTCGTGGACCTACCCGAATTCGAGGGTCCGGCTCTCAAAACGGTTAGTTTGGGAGTGTTGGACAGCGCTCTCTGCGTGTCGTTCGTTTCTCCCGACGATAGCCACGTGGAGCTATGGTCGGCTAGGACGGTTGACAATGGTGGGGCCCACGGTGTGGGGACGGCTTGGAAGAAGCTCTACCATATAGAGACGGTGACGACCATGCTCGAGAACAGCGGTAGGGTTTGGTCGAGGGGTGCGTATCAACCGGTCATGTATGTGGAGGCTAATAAAATATTGATGCACGACTGGAGGACCAATTTCCTTATGTACGATGTGGTCGCACGGAGCGAGAGCGTGTTCCCTATTACGGAGGATATACACGTTGAGGATGGGCATAGGGCGGCGGTGCAAGTGGTTTCTCATGTACCCAATATTATCTGCTTGCGGGAGACACTCAACATTCAGGAAGGGAATGTTAGGATTTTGCGAACCGATGTGAGGTAATAATTAATTTAATTTCTCTATTTGAATAATTTTACATCTTGTTCATTGCATAATTGAGCTATTATTAAAACATATATATATGCATGCAAATATTTCATGTTCTATATATGTGGTTTTGATGTGCATTTTTTTCACTTGTTGAGAGTTGGAAGAGTGAAGCTTAGTTCCTAAATAACTTCAGTATTTTATGCAAATTTTCTAATGTTTTTAGTTTTTTAGTTTTTTTTTTTTAGAAAATAAAAAAATATAATCTTTTCGATTCCTCCCATTTACGATCATATATATATTAATTGGAATATAATCTTTTCGATATATTACCAGCCGGTAGTCTTTGTTGCTTTTTCAAGAGCAATATTACGTAAAATACTAAGAAAAGATCTTTCAATGTATTATGTAGGAGGACAACAAGAAGACGAGGTACCCGATTTAGAGGCATCACGACAGGCGAAGGCTCTGGACGACGGAGATACAAAAGACGAAGAGCTGGGTGAACCACTCAGTGGTTCAGTTGTATTATTTATAGTATTGTCATTATTGACATTGTTGTTGAATCTTATTACAAACATTTATACTTTGAATTAAAAATTTCTCTATGTTTGTACGTGTGTGCTTTAATATATAGATTGAAAAAAACAAAACTATATATAATAGATAAATAAATAAAACAATTTTAATTTATATATTTATTTCTTATATTTATAATGTCAATTCTACTTCTTGTTTCAACTCGCTGATATTTGGATTATTCCAAATTTATGCTATTCCCTAAAATAATAATAATAATAATAATAATAATAATAATAATAATAATAATAATAATAATAATAATAATAATAATAATAATAATAATAATAATAATAATAAAAATATAAAAGTATGAATGTTTTTTTGTTCCTTAACATATATGTGCTTCCTATTATGCCCTTTGTAAACTAACTTACACCATTAATTAGTTATGGTTAATTGTGTAATAATAAGCATAATGAAATAACAAATTAAATAGTAAAATAATATTGTTTAAATATCTAATGGCTTTGCATATGCTCAAATATTTACACAAGTTGTGATCGTTGATTTTCTTCTTTTTGTATTTTTTTCTACATAATATTTTTTAGATAAAATCACTTCGTCTTTAACTAGATTCGAAGAGCTTTACAATCACATACTATAAGCATATATGTAGAAATTTGTTTTTCGTTTTATACATAAAATAGTTTTGAATTTTAAATTAATTATTAGATTATATTTATTACGTATATTCCACAAACATGATAATATGATATTGTTTCTGTATCTTACATTTTCAAATATAGTATTTTATGTAAAATAAAATGGTATTGAAACATGACTACTATTGTTAAAAAATACATGAAATTTAAACAAGCATATGACAATCATAAATTTAAAAGTACGGATTAATTTAAAAAAAACACTTTGCAGACTCGAAATATACACCTTGGAACTTTGCACACCCAAACAAATTAATAGCACATTACACCCTTACAAGATTTAATCATTCACACAACAACCCCCAATTGATATTTCAATAAAATTTCTCAACAATTATGTTTTATAAAAATATTGTAAATTTAATTTTAGATAACAAAATTTAATTTTCAAGTAATTTTAGTAAGAAAATAATTTAATAGTGAATGAAATAAACAATTACATAAAATAAGTACTACTGCACAGATGAAAATATCCTCAATAATTACACTCATACAAAAGTATTTGTCATCTTGGCACAGAGTTTTAGAATTTTAATTTTTCCACCCTTCAACTACTTTTTCACAAAATTACATAAAAAAAATATTTTCATACAAAAAAAAAAAAAAAGAACAATATATTTTTACCAATTCCAAGAAAATTAAAGATATACCTATTCAATAATATCATAATTTAATTATGAAAATTATTTTATTTGAATTACATTTGATCACTCCAAAGAAAATTATCATTTCAAAATGCTACTAACAGATGAAATTATCCTCATTAACCTTAAAATTTAAATAGGATGCAATGTGAGTGATTTAATTCCTTTAGAGATTTTTTTCGGGGGTACCAAGTGCATAAATGATACATTCCGAGGTACAAAATAGAAATAAGCAAAATATTTAATTTAATTTATGTTATATATTTTTAAATAATATTAATTTACTAATATAATTTCTCTATAAAAAATATCTTATAAAAATATTATTTTGTTATTAGCAATTAAATAATTAAAATTATACTTAAGAGGAGCATCTTTAATATAATATTTATTTATTTTTAAACGTGAGAGTTACGGTGTATATGTATGTAATTAGATCTGATCTCAGGAGAGATCACTATAATTATTCAATATATGGTCAAGGGTAAACATATAGTTTCAAAAACATCAATGGTCACTATAATTACTGAATTATCTTTTCTTTGTAAGAAAATTATTGGTGAAATTGAAGATCGATAACTATTATGACTCTAGTAACAAAACATATCTCACTTAAACTTTGAACAATAACAAAAAATAATATGATGAGGATATTATAACACCAAGGTAACAATAAAATTATGAATTATGCACTGATTATATTTCCCATAAGTAGTAAATTGGATATTATTACACGTGATTAACATGTCATATATGAATTGGCTAACTCAAGATACTTGAATAAATATGCATGTCCAACTGTATTTAGTTGTCTCTACCTCCATGTTTTTTAATTATTACTATTTTATAATTCATATCTTCATTTAGCGATATTGATTTCAATCTTGAAAGTTGAAAATACTTAATGTACATGCTATTGGATAATATAATATTTTTCATCAATAAACCTTGCTACATTAGAATCTCAAATATTTTAATATTTCTAAAGTAAATTTCTTTAAGAAAATTATTGTTGTAAATATAAAGATATATTATTCTTTTTTTTTTTTTTAATATAAAAGTATATTATTCTGACACCTGTGAGGCTGTGACAAATACAAGATGTATCCCTGAAGAAAATTGAAAAAAAAATGAATAAAAAGGATAATAGCTATGATTAAATTAATATTCAAATTTCAAGTGTCGACATTTTGATCAGGAAGGACATAATTCAGAAAAAAAAAAAAAAACTTAAAATCTCCAACAATACTAAAGTTTAAAAATTCATTCAAAGACAAATATTTAAGCAAACCAAAATTTAATCAAAAGAAAGCAAAATGGGAGCATGTATGAACTAATATATAGAATGAAAAAAATTAGTTATTTTGTTTTATATTTTATACTCCTATAAAAACAATTTTCACAATAATAATATTTTACAAATCATAGATATATAAAGAAAATGCTCTTTACCGTTTAAAAAGTGTTATTTACTGTTCAAAACAAAAAAGTGTTTATCTCTCAAAAACCCCTATAATTTTCGAAAAAAATGGACGAACGCCTAAGTAGGGCGCCCGCCGCCTGAACGGACGCCTAAAGTGGGCGTCCGTTCAGGCGACCGGCGCCCGACTTGGGCGTGTCAACAGTTTTTGGACGCCCGGTTTGGGCTTTTCCCGGGCGAACCGGCGCCCGGTCCAGGTGTCGGGTCGGTCGCGAAAAGCCCAAACCGGGCGTTCGATTAATTTTTTTTTTTTTTTCTTTTTTTTCTGTTTTAAAATAAATATATTTTTTTTTCTGAATTAAAATAAGTTAGTAAATTTAATATAATTTATGTTTACAGAATATCTAATTGGGCGAAAAA